TACCATGGGTTTGGAAACCTTTAGAACTACTGATAAAGTAATTGGGTTTGGGACGAATGACTGAAGGTGAATGACCCAGATTTCTACACTTTGGATCACAGTGATATTCTGCAGCAGTTATTATCCTGTTAGTCGTCACATTTTTTCAGAGGAGCATTCCCTAATACATTCCTTGTGCGATTGATACGGAGCAGCCCCGAAAGCCTGTATGGAATTAGCTTTAGGACATCCTTTTCCCCCTAACACGATCACCCAAAGGACATTTTGATTCACCAATTCCACAGCCAAGGAAATGTTTTCCTTTGTAACTCATGCAGAAGTGTTAGACTGAGGACAGATATAAACAAAAACACAGATGTAATTTTAGAAGAAATGGCTAAAATCAGAAGTCCTATCTTTCCAGACCCAGTTTGGGCAAAGCCACACGGCTCTCCTTTGGAGGCCAAGATCACCTTTCATGGACATTAACACAGGAAGTAAACAGCCTTTGCAAAACAGTGGAACAGGTGAGCTTCCCCTCGCCAACCCCAGAGGCTCCTCAACTAATCTGAATATGTTAACACGACTTTCCAGGGAAGATGCCAAAATAAGCTTCTGTCCCCCCTCACCTTTACTTTAATCCCCACATAGGTTTTGCTTTTACCATATGGTAATTATTTCCAAATCACAAGTGCAAACACTCACTCTGATTGGAAAATTAGCAGATTTCAAACTCAGGTAATTTGTCCCTAATGAGGAACTTGTTGAACTGAATTTAACAATTAACTCGCACACTCTTTGCTGCCTGTGGCTATGGGGGGAAATGAAGCAGGGGAGGAAGGAAGGGTGACCCAGAAGAGGAGCCTGGCAGCTTGGGGTGTATGGAAGATGTGTGATGGGCTGAAGGAACATTAGCAATTTAGCTGTTCAAAGCAGAGAGAACACTGTGAGTCTCCAGCTATCAACATTGTCTGTTCTGGTTTCATCCTTGCCTAAGAACCCAGGAGATGGACAGAGCAGACGGTGTATCTCCTCTCTTGCTCTCCCTCAGGTTGAGGTGGTACAGGCGACTTTTAATGAAATGCAGGATGGCTAGTGTAAAGGCCGGACTGGGCACAGTGCAGGTTTTCTGATCCCATGCAGACCGGGTAAAGGAGGAGTCAGAGTCCTCAGTAGTTTTGCAGGTTTTTTATTTGGGGTTCACCAGGCATATGGCAGGCAGGGGTGCTGGCTGGGGGGCTGGGAGGCTGGCAGGCCTCCCAGCCCCCAGCAAGTCTTTACTCTATCTGGGCTATCTGGCGTTCGTTCTGCTGCTTCTCGGCTTCTGCTTCGGTTTCTGCTGCTGCTACTTCGGCTTCTACTGCTGCTGCTGGCGTCCCCGTGACGCCGCCCTTAAAAGCACAGTCTTAGCTCAGCTGAATCCCATCTACCTGTGCCCACACCCTATTCCAGGTGCCCGCCATCAGGCATGCATTCAGGACAAGGATCCATCATCTATCCTGATGGCGGAAGGGCGGAAAAGCCTGATATTTTCTTTACCCTACAGCTAGTGTCCTCTTCATAGGTGGTGTGAATATGGCAGGGCAGAGAGTGGACCCAGCAAAGAGTGGACCCTTGCTTTCCAATCTGCACCACCCTCCTCACTGCATGTAAGTTCCTGGCCCAGGCAACCACAGGGCTGTGAGGGTTTCCAGGAGCTTGGGCTCAGCTCTTGGAATCAACATCATCACTCCCACTTGAAAGGTGTGCCCCAATGAGGGGCGTCTACCTTACCTCAAGACTGCTACCCCCATCAAGTCAAGTCTGCAGCTGTCTCTGCTCCTCCCTTTAGTGCTGTGTGGTCCAGCACCAAGGCCGCATGCACTATTGGCCCCTGGCAATGTGGCCCAACTAAAGAACACTAATTTAATTTAAATTTTAAAACCAGTACTTGATTCAACTATTGGAAAGCTAAGTATGTTTAGAAGGTGAATCTACACTGTCAACTGTGGATTTTATAAAAATCTAAATCCACATCCAGTATGTCCCAAGACTTAACATCTGATTTAAGACAGGCTGTGTCTAGATTTTGAAGTCTTAGTAAGAATAAAAGAATGTAAAATGTTTCATTGAGAATTAGAAAATATTGATTACATGGATAAATAATATTTTCAATATATTGGCTAAGTAAATTTCTTAAGAGTCATTTTCCTTGTTTCATTTTCCTTTGTAAAAAGGGGCTACTAGAAAATATAAAATTACATCAAGGGCTTGCATTATATTTCTATTAGTGTTGGCCTACAACAAGGTCCTCCCTCCACTGGCTAGTACATTCCTGCCAGTGACAGGAGCCTCCACCTGCCCTCCCTGTCCTCTGTGTTGGGAACACCTGGATTTTCCCGAACGTTCAACTGCTGGACAACCTTCTCTCTCCTTGTCAGCCACCACCTCACTACGAATGGTCAGTCATGAAATCCTAAATGCAACCCAACAGAAAAATATACACACAGAGTTTGGATTTGAGCTAGGGTAGCAAAAAGACTCCCAACATCTCATTAATAAAATGAATGAAAAAGTTATTCCCAAAACAAAATCAGTTAATATCGTCCAAGGGGACACACATCAAGTTACCAATTTGGAAATGGGGGTCGTTATCACTAGAAGGAAATAAACAATAACCACAACACGGTGATCTCACACAAAGTCCCATTTGTTTGCCTGCGAAGGGAGCGCCAACTACTCAAGCGCCTGCTCCCTGGCATCTCCACGCAGCGCCTGAGGACCAGACACTGCCCAAGGGAGGAGGTGCAGCAGATCTGGTGAGGTTCCGAGTTTAGGGGTCCGGTTGGCTCCCAAGGCCCAGCGAGGAAACTCCCTGCAACTGATCGCTGCACTGGCTCCCTCCTGAAAGGTGCAGGCTCCGTTCCAAACATGTCCAGGATGCTTCCACAAAGTTCCAGAGGGCTGGCATCAGGGTCTCTCAGATGGCAGACCCCTGAGTCCGCTTGAAGGCGGCTGAGGCCTTCTCTCACGGCATCGGCAGCCACGGGCAGAACCCAGATGACAGGGCGACCATCACAGTCACCCGTGTCTGCGTTCCCGTCTTTTGGAGCTGCCGGACCAAGTGTTCCTTTCGTTTTCCTCAGTGGAAAAGGCCCGGATGCATCCATGTGTCCTTAGAAACACAAGTTTTCCTAGACAAGCTGCCTTTCAACATTGTAACAAAAGAGGCACCGGACCCAAAGCTTGCAGATGTCCCCAGGAACACCATCCAAAAGGTGGGAGCAGCCCAGAGGCACACGGGAGGGTGAGGGCTAAAGGAGACGTGGTGTTTACAGACCATGGGTGTTACTCAGTCATAAAAGGGGAACAAAGTCTGACGCACGTCACCATGTGGACGACCCTTGAAAACATGCTCAGGGAAGGAGGCCAGACGCCACAGGCCAGAGCGGGGCGATGCCACGTTCTGGAAAGAGCTAGAATGGGGCGTCCAGGGAGAGAGAACACCAGTGGTGGTTCCCGGATTGGGGTTGGGGGCGCAGCAGCCAGAGCTTGGCGGGGACAAAGGCTTCTCTTGGGTGATGGGATGTGTCCCAAGTGGGCACAGGAGGCTGCCCGACTCTCTCCCGCTGGCCAGCACCACCCGCCGCACACCTGCAACAGCTGGTTGCTGCTGCTCTCACTTGCACCTCAATAGAAAGAAAGGGGACAAAGAGAAACGTCTGGGGTGGGGTGCGGAGAGCTTTCCACCCCGCTGAAGCCAGAAAAAAGGCCAAGAGACAAGAGGGAGCAGGGGTTGCTGAACCGCTGGCGATCAGGGCTCAGAGAGAAGGGAAGAGACAGAAACAGGGCGGATCCCGCTGAGGGCCCAGCAAAGCCAGCCACACGTGAAAGGCAGACAACACTCGCCTTCAAGCGTTTAGCTCCTTTTCTGCAAATCACCCGGAGTCCCCAGAAATGAAGGGTTTTATGAAGAGGGAACACCTGGTGTCCCGGAAGTGCCTTTTCCAGGGCAGGCGCTGCAGCCCCAGGACAGCCAGGCTCTCCAGGGCCATGGGCACAGATGGTGCCTCTGGAAGGGTGGGGCTCCCCGCCAGCGTGGCTGCTGGCCCGCTCTGCACCCCTCAGGCCGCCCTGGCCTAGGTGGAAGCGTGGGGGCAGCGTGAACATCCTTTGCAAAACGCACTGGAAAAACTCTCCTACATACTGTGCACAAACCTTTTCCACCCGATAACCAAACACCATCCTTCTGGAAGATGTTTCTGGCATCTCACCTGTGCCCTGGGCAGAGATTATGTACAGTGGAACCGGTTTTCAACGTCACGGCCTTCCCGGTACATGTGACAACACAGATGAACTTGAGGACAGGAGGCGAAACACACCGCGAGACACGCCAGTCACACAAGGACAGGCCGTGCGGCCCCGCCCCAGGAAGCGGGCAGAGCAGTCAAGAGCAGAGACAGAAGACAGAAAGTGCTGCCAGGGGCTGGGGCCAGGGCGATGGGGAGCTAGTGCCCAGTGGGGACACGGCACCCTCGCAAGAGCAGCACACCCCCAGAGCTCTGCTGCACGGCGAGAAGACCCGAACGCTTCTGACCTGCACGCTGACAGGGCTCACTGCTCACCTTCACGTTCTGTGGGGCCCTTTAACCTCATTGTCCACCCTCGAAAGTTATTCCTCTTGTTCAACTCCTCATTTCAGCTTGATTGGTTTAGAAAAAGTGGCGGCTTCAGGAGTTTCCGCTGAAGCTAGTTTGGACTGGGACACACTTTCGATTTGTAATCAAAACAACCAGGTCCACAAGCGCCAGCAGAGCAATGACTCCAGCTGCACAATCCCGGTTATGAGGTCACTTCCTGTCCGATGGAAAAGTCAGGATATTGTGCTTCCCTATGAAGTTTGCACACACATCTAACAATAGAAGTATCTAAATGGCTGCAAAAACCGAGAATGCATTCGGGTAGATCCCTTGCATTTTTACAAAGAGAGACAGTGATGCACGGCTCAGGAGCTGGGAGCGGCTGGTGGGTCTAGATTCATTTTACCTGTGGACAGGCTCGCTGTCTGCGGGCATGGTGGCTGAGCCTTCGGGGCTGCTGCTGTCACCACAGCCACAGGCTGCTGCAAGATCCTCAACTGCTTTATCTGTTGAGGCTGTGGTAGCCGAGGGTGACACTTCCTCAAGGCAGAGGGCTGCTGGAGTATCCTGAGGGAGGCTTTCACCAGGTGTGGTCTGGCCACAGCCATTGTGGGACCACATGGTTGGCTGGGACTGAAGACTTCCCATTCCACTGAGGTTGATAACAACTGCGTGCTGAAAACTGCTTGATTCCGGTGCACTTGGACCCTGCTGAGGACACAACGTGGATGGTTGTTGACCTTGTGGTGGAATCAACTGACAGAGCCACTGCTGCTGCTGTGGCAGCTGTTCGGTCTTCAAAACAAGTGAACCTTTTGAATGATGGAGGAGAGTGACCGACCTGAGGTTGGGAGCATTTTCTAAAAAAAATTGCACACCCACTTGAGAAGGTTCCTGTAATTCAGTAGGTTGCTCACTTGGTGTCTGATCTCCTGAGGGCTGGTAGCTGGGCTTGACTCCGGCAGGAGTCGAGCCCTGTATGGGGTGGGACCCACTGGCCAAAGTCTGGGCTCCAAGAACAGGACCCACCACATTGATGATGTCCTGGCCAGTGGAGGTGGCCATGACTGGGGTGGCTGGCGTTCTCTGTGAGGAGATGGCAGTGGACAGGGTCTGGATTCTCCTGGATGCACTGAGAGGTGACCAGACCAGTTTCTGTGAGGACCTGAAAGTGGACAGGACCGTCATTCCCTCAGAGGAGTTGACAGTGAATGAAGTGGCTGGAGGAATCTTGTGAACCTCACTCACTTCCATAGAGGATTTCTGGGGAACACTCGGTGGCTTGGAAGCAGGAGCAGAGGGCAGAGATTGGAGAATGCTGCTTGCGTGTTCTGGAATAAAGATGTTCCCCGAGGAACTCTTCCCTGAGCTTGGGAGGAGCTGCATGGGGGAAGGCAGATGTGTGACTCCCTTCTGCAAGACTGAAGACTGAACCAGGGTGGTGTCGGGCTGATGTGCTGCTTTGCCTGGGGAGAAGTGGCTGAGACTGGTTGAGCCACGGGGGCTCGATGACATCTTGACCGGGCAGGGGGCCTTCTTCGGGACCAGCTCCCCGGACCGGCTGACGACCCTCCCGGCATCCGTGTCCAGACTGGAGTGGTCATCTGCGGAGGGGTCACCAGGGAGAGACATTTGTCGCTCACGTCTGGTTTCTGCATGAGGCCTTTCTGCAGAGGATAGTGGATCCTTACCCGGCCGCGGGAAGGTTGGCCTTGCCGTCTGGGCGGCGCTGCCAGCTTCAGCTCCCGGCGCCGAGTCCTCTTTGACCTCCGCGACGGGCCGCGCGCTGGGCCGGGAGCCGGCTCGCGGCCCAGACGGCCTGCCCTTGGCGTACTTCTCCACGTCCACTGCAGAGGGGACGGCCAGCTCGCAGGGCCTCCGTTTCCACAGATCTACACAGTGGCCCACCTTACAGATTTTGAGGTCGTACTGCGGAGCCGCTTGGCTTGCTTTGGACTTTTTCCAGGACGCCAGGGCGCTGAGCTGGGGCGGCGGCGGGCGGGGAGGGCGCGCCCGCTCCCTGGCCAGAGAAGCCATGGAAAACCTCCTGAGGCTCCGTGTCATCGGGTGAGTGTTCATCTTCTGCTTGTCGTAGAGCAGCCTGTTTTCCGTGCAGGCGACTGTGACGGAAGGATCGAGACACAGGGGCTCGGCGGTGGCCAAGATGAGCTGGCTCTCCAGCAGCAGTCTGTCGTCCTGCGTCCAGTCCTGGTGGGCGCCGGCGATGGCCTGCACGTCCGCGGCCAGGGTCTGCATGGTCGGCCGCAGGAGCACGTGCCTGCTCTGGTAGCCGGGGGGGGCCCCGGGGCCGCGCTGCCTGTAGTCCCGAACTTCTGCGAGGACGCACCCGCGGTGGAAAAGATTCATCTCCGATTTTTCCAGGAGATCCAGCAGAACAGGGGGTAACTGCTCTGCATCCAGGTACTGCAGCAACTCCCCTTCCTCGTAGCGCATGCGGACGGTCTCGGAGCAGGCCTCGTCCGTGCCCTTGAGCATCAGAGAATAGCCCTGCTCTCCCGGGTACAGGTTCACCACCACACGCGGCAGGGCCTCGCGCGCCACCAGCTTCTCCAGCAAGTTCACACTGCTTCTCAACTCCTCGGCGCCCTCCGGCTCCTTCTCACACTCCTCAGCGTAGATGTCGTACAGCTTGTGGTGGAGAGACTTCTCCCCGCTAGCGGAGCATGTCCTTTTAGGCGGCCTCTGCCGGACACTTTCAATGACCGACTCTGCACGACCCGAAGCTCTTTCTAAAGCTTGTTGCATTGCAACATAAATTCCGGGCCTTTAAAGAAGAGAAAATGGAAGTGCGTTGATGAAGCAGGGTACGGACGTGCCCTCGATGAATCAATGCAAGCTTGCAAAGACTGCAAATCCAGCTTGGAATGACCACCAAACCGCACCATGAACACCAATACACTCGCCCCAAAGGAAGCGCCTTGCGAAACTCCTGCAATTTCAGGAAATCCCTGTACCTGTTGGAGCCTCCACCTCTTGGGACTGGGTTCTCCGTGGGCTGGGCCGGAAGTGAAGATGAAGCCCCTGCCCCGCCCCCACTGGCCCTACCCCACCCCCTTGCAGGCTCAGCTCTTTATGCGAGTGACTGTGGTTGCTCCTCTCTCTACAGGGGTCTGCCCTAAGCCTCTGCCTCTGGGAATCTGGGCCCACAGCCTGTGCTTCTTGCTCTGGAGAGCAGGCTTCCAATGGAGGTCAGTGCGAAGCCCTTCCATTTCTTTAATTTTATCTTTAAAATGCAAGCAATCAACAAAAAGTACTTAATTTCTGGCAGTTTTAACATCTATTAATTTTTCATAGGAATTCAGTTGCCACGAGAGTCATAGAAGATACAATTTCTTTCCTTGTCAAGCACTTCATCAATACTGGTCTTGGAGTCTTATTGATGGCAGGGATGCGCCCAGTGTCCATAGCCAACTTAACACAACCCCAGGAGTCCAAGTAGGCCACCAGACACCCACTTGCTTGCGTGGAGGCTCACTATATTTGGCGCAGCAATAAATTCCTCACTGAATCCCACCCATCCCTGCCTAATGATTTCACACAGAGCTACTTACTCTCCAGCCCCCCACCCCCATGTATTACAATAAAGGCATTTATAGATATTTTTAAAATATATTGTAGGTAAGTTATATGACCTATGAATTGCATGGAGGGTTAAAGTGTTTGTTTTAAAAGGTGATTTCCATGACTCCACAGTGGATTTAGAACTACTATTCCAGATGATGGCAGTCAATTTGACAGGATGATTACCTGGAGACCACACCTACTACTGTCCTAATGATGCATCTGGAGGGAAGGGACTCTAAGGTGTTCATGGGCCACTGTTGTCCACTAATTCGTTGCCTTAAAAATCTCTCAGCCTTTCTGGAACAGGTTGTTAAATGAATCTCTTGGGGTTTCGATGCAGACATAGTGATAACACAATATTCATAGTTAAGTCTTACAGATGAGAGAATCCAAGACTAACGTGAATTTCATGGTTTATGGGTTACTCTAAAATACATTCGGTGTTTTTAACCACTAGCACTTACAAGAATTATAAATGACAAAAGATATAGTCCATTGAAATAGCATTAAAAACTCCTTGAGGAAGAGTTCCTTAAACATGACCCTCCTTGGGCAAGAGAAGGAATAGTTTTCCACCGGCATCTCACTTGTCTTTGGGCAAATGCACACTTCTGGGGTGCCTCGCCGGCACTTGAAATCAGCTTAGTTTCCCAGGAAACTAAGGATGCTCCTTTAAGCATCCTTCCCTGTCCCTCTGTTTCTGCTCCAGATGCCCAAATTTCAGCTAAGTGTAAGGCTGGACAACTGCGTCATATTTTTTAATGCAATAATCCAAACATCCAACTTTGATAGAGTCTGAATTAATGAGGTAAACATGAGTTCTGCCCTTACCCAAAGCACCAGCCATCCTTCCAGTCTGAGTGGATGAGCCATTTCCCTGCCCGCCGGGCTCTGGCGGCTCCTGCCCAGCCCCGACCCCGTTCCCGGCTGTCCTCAGGACTCTGCCGTGCGTTGGCTGAGAACGTGTCTGTCTGGCCCAGCATTCCATTGCAGTTAGAGGAGGGAGCGAGTCAGGGAAAGCTGGGCTCTGCTGTCCACCTGCACTAGGGTGTGTGGCATGAGGTCGGCACCGCAGACCTGCACTTGAGTCAGGGTATCCTCCTGAACGTGCAGGAAGCGCAGGTCTCCTGCTGGCTGCCCCTGGCCTGCACACTGGACTCGCTAGGTCCTTAGTGTGGCGAGGAGGCAGGTCTGGACGGGGCCGAGGCAGGGCAGGGGCCTGGGCACCAGACGGAAGGGGACGCGCACTGGGTGGGTTGTGCAAGTCCGTGGGGCCGGTGCCCCAGAGGCCTGGCCTGCCTGCCCTGTCCCAGCCCTGCACCCGGGCCCCTGGCCACCTAGCTCCTGCCCCTCGGCCAGCCTCCTGGGCGTCCTCTGTCTCCCGTGCTTCCTGTGCTCTGGCCACAGTTGCCAGGCCGCAGGCTGCAGGCAGGCCCAGCCTCTCAGGGCTCCTGGCCCTGGTCAAGGCTCTTTTCTCTGCTGAGAGGCCCCTGTCTGCTCAGCCCCCGGCTGTCCCCGCCTAGCGCCTCAGAGAGCCCTTCCTGGCTTCCAGGCAGCGAGCCTCCCAGTCTCTGCGCCCTGCCAAAGCACACACACCCCGTGCGTGCCCGCTGGCCCCGGCTCCCGTTGCAACGCAGCTGACTGTTCCCACTGTCTCCACAGCCAGCCTCTGGGTCCTGAGGGGCCGGGGCCGGGCTCTCCATGGCTGTCGGGTCGCCCACTCGCTCACTCCTTGCCCCGGGTGGCACTACAGACGGCAGCGATGGTTGAATCCGTGCTCTCTTTACCTCGACAGATCTTAAAAGCCTTCTGAAGGAAATGATGTACCCCCTTTGAAGAGACGAGGAATGTTCCAGAGCCAGGTCTTCTGACTCTGGTGCTACCCTATGTGGGGAGGGGCTGTCTTGTGCCCTGTGGGACAAGCATGCCTGGCCTTACCCAGCTGCCAACCACACTCGCCCCCAGCGGTGATAACAGGAAATGGCTCCAGATGTTGGCAGCTGTCCCCTGGCAGGTGGGGAGAAAAAAGTGGCCCCCTGCTTGAGAACCCCTGCTCAGACCCCTGCTCTGGCAGCCCCTAGCCAACACCCAGGGCACCTCTGGCGCCAGAGAGCTGTGTCTGCGTCCTCCCCCAGGACATGCACTAGGTGTTCAGCTGCCAGTCATGGCCTTAGGTCGGGTTTGCCCAAAAGCGAACCCTGACAAGAGGATTTGAGCACAAGTAGTTCACTTGGGAGCTCATCTCGGGAAGCCCTGGGGGGGACGGACGGGCAGCTGTGCAGGGACGGGAAGGAAGGCGATGGCAGGCATGTCGTGGGCAGATGCTGTGGCCACCTGGGCCCTGCGGGGACCTGTGGGAGAGGACACAGAGCAAGCCTCAGGGGGCTCTCTCTCCCCATCTGTCTGGGCTGCCGCCGACAAGAAGCACCGGCGCTCCTGGGACCGAGCATGTCCTCAGACAGTCAGCAGCCCTCTCAGTGACACTGTGCGTGCGTGGGGGCGTGCAGTGGCCAGGACCGTGTGGAGCTGGTGGTGAAGCCCACGGCTCTTCCATTGTCACATGGACAGATGTCACGTGGACAGTGGCCAGGACCGTGTGGAGCTGGTGGTGAAGCCCGCGGCTCTTCCATAGTCACGTGGACAGATGTGCTCCGTCTTCTCTGTGGGCCGATGGGGCAGGGAGTTGTGCGCGTCCAAGGCCAATGGACACTTTGCTGTGAGTTTGCGGTCAGCTCGTCAGGTCGACGTGGCCAGAAATGGAGGCTGTGACCCAGTCCTTGCTCCCCGCTGGGCGGACCCCGAGGCAGCCCGGCCACAGGTGCACTGGATGAGGCTGTGGACTTGGCCGTGTGTGTATTCCTGCGTGTGTACTTGGCCTGGCAGTGCTTTTCCTGGCTGGGACATCCCCTTCACTTGAGCTCCCTAATTGCCTGCCTTTCCACAAGATGAGTTTTTTATAATTACACTGAGAGCACAGCATCCTTGGAGCCTTGCACGCACGTCAGCGAGCACGCTGCTGATGAGGACTGCACGGCTGCCAGCCCCTCAAGCCCTCTGTGGAGATGCACATCTGAGAAAACTCGTGGCCATATTAAGATAGGCTAGCAGGAAAAAAATGATTTGTGGAAATGCAAGCTAATTGACCTAATTTGCAGTTAGCAGATTGATTGTGTGAACTCTGAGGTCTAGTTCTAGGTCTTTGTCACCTCTTTGCTCTGCAGCTGATTACACATGGAGCCAAAGAACCTGGAACCATAGGCAGCAAGGATGGGGGAAGGTGGCGGGACATTACTGTTGGGCTTATCTTGTGTGAACCCTCCCTTAGCTGCCCGGAGACTTAGTGTCTCCCCTGTGATCAGCCCCCAGCCACAGCATGTAGCAATTCCTTGAGAATATTGCGATGGGAACTCCTCCAACCGGCTATGTCATTCAGCGCTTCCACATGTTTATTGGATCCAAGGTGTTTATTGGCTCTAAGAGCTCAGAGCCCGTGAGTGTGCACTGCGTGTTGTTTTCTCTTTTCCCTTCATCTCCATTTGCCTTTCCCCAAATTCTGTTCACCCTTTCCTTTCTTCCTTCTGTGTTTGCACAAAAAGGACCCTTTGATCACTTTACTGAAGTGATCTTTTGATCACTTTACTGAAATAAATGAAATTGGATTTTGTTCTGGTTTTATTGCTCTAAGACATGAGTTCTATTCTCTGAGAAAAATGTCCCACCCTAAGTCACGGTTTCTCAGCCTCTGCATAGTTCACATCTGTTGTGGGGGGCTGTCCAGTATGGGCTGCTTAGTAGCATCCCTGACCGCTCTTCCACTAGATGGCAATAGCAGCCCCCTTCCAGTTAAGAAAAACAAACTGTCCCCAGATATGGCTAAATATCCCTTGGAGCAAATTATTCCCACCACCCTATGAAATCACAAAACTGGATCCAGAGAAATCAAGCAGTAATCCCAAAACCACAAAGCATTTTACGTCTCAATTTCTAGGACATTTCAAATGATAAATGTGACTTTAAAATTTTTTTATTTTCTTGTTGCTGCAGTTACTATTATGATTGGCCCTGAATTGTCTTACTAATGCTCTAAATTTGCCATTGGACTTGATTAAGAGTCTCTGGCCAGTTGGAGAGATGCAAACAAAAACATCATTAAATCTTTAGTAGGTAGATTTTCAAGAATA